TTGACGACATTGGATCCAGACTCGACATTGGGATTCAGACATTTTGACGAGGGACTATTTGGGCCTGTGCCGAAGACTTGGTGTTGACGACATTCCCATCTTCCCCCTCTTCTTCGTCTAACCCCCCTCTTCTTCGTCTGTGTATGGTTGGGGACTGGCGCATTCTTCCTGTGTGAGCGCCAGGCCCCTTCACACCATGGAGTGATGATGATGATGTATGTTCGGGGCTGCATTGCAATATTGATTGTTCGATTGGTGTCTAAGTCTTCCGCTACGCTATCTTGTACTTTGTGAGAGAGGTCGGTTCTTGTTCTGGTCTGAACCGTTACAGTATGCAACATCCTCACATTGAATCAGTGCTTCTTCTTCGCTTTCTTGTATTGGTTCGAATGGTGCATTTCCCCAAAACATCCTCTCCATGCCTTCCCCGTATTTCTTGGGACACATTACCAATGTCTCTGCTGCATTCTTATCCACTGGCGTACAAACGAAAGCCTCATCCCAACTTCCTTCCTTCATCCTCCCCTGTCTAGCATGGTTCCACCTCTTTCATTCTTACCAACTCTGGTATTTCAGCGTTTTGCAGACAGTTATTAATTTCCCTCATCAGTCCTTTCCTACCACTTCCTCCCTCCTTTCTCAACACATTCTTCGCATTCCTTAAGATCGGGTGAATGTCCTCCCAGTCGCTTAGGCGTAGGCTTACATGACCCTCCACTTTAGGAAGGGTAGAGTCTGCTGCAGGTATCAGCAAGAGCTGACTGGGGCTCGTCTGACCATAGCCGTCATGGCTAGGGGTGATGATCGACCTTGATGCGCATTGTGATTTGGGCGGGAAGCAGAGGGGGGGGGGGGGGGGGGAGGGGGGGGGGGGGGGGGGGGGGGGGGGGGGGGGGGGGGGGGGGGGGGGGGGGGGGGGAAATGATGTGCTAGGGGTGTGTTCCATAACCCCCGCAAGTACAAGTATCTTATGCACAGTTAGTTAATGTGACTGTGAACCCACTGACTTTGATACGTAGCCTGTTGAAGAACTGGTCATGTTTACGCGAGGCGGACAACGTGTGGGGAACTGTGGGGTCAATTAGGTGAGCACTAAGCAGAGATTAGGGACGCTATCGCAAGAGAACGGGAGAGCGGCCCACCGACGGGGGTAGCTCAGTTGAAACACGCATGACCTGTTGAAATACAGACCGGTTTTGATGTAACCAGATGAACAGAATAGAACGGGAGAGGGAGAGTGGCCCAGACTCACACACAGATTGAATGACCGAGGTGTTCGCTTTTCGCTTTTTGCTTTTCGCTTTTTGCTTTTCGCTTTTTGCTTTTTGCTTTTTGCTGTTATCAAGTCTGTTGCGGGAAAGAGGGTGGACAGATCCAAAATTAATAAAATAGGATGACAGTTGTATAAGTGGGAGATTGGTGGTTTTCAAAAGAGAACGGGAGAGTGGGTCGCATACAGATTCATGAAAAAGGCTAGCATCATAGTAGCATGTTATCATAATTTATCATTGCTTTGGTTGCTGTACCCACAACTCGTTATCAAGATCAAAGTTGAAAGTTT